CTTGTAAATGTATTGGTGGCTGTTTACTGTTCATGTTTTATTTTAATTTTTGGGTCTATTTTTCCTCTCAAAGGGTTTGAATAAAAAGCTATAAATGATGAATTTTGACTGACTTATTCATTTCGAATGTATAAAGGCACTCAAATTACAAACAGCTATAGAAGTATGAGGAAAAAGACATTTTCTTGAAGAGACTGACAAAAAAGAAAGCATAAAACATGCAGGCAATACAGGTACAAGTTTTCATGATTGTCTTGGCTGAACAGTAAAAATATTTTCAGTTGAGGCCAAATATTGACACACTTGTGTGCAAAAAAGCCAAGCCCAAAATGTCAAAACTTATGGCTTTTATGCTCTTTACAAAAAATATTAATCAAACAGAGGCAATATGTTAGTGTGGGAGAGCTTTTCCTTTCATTTCTTTAAATGTTAAAGTCTTGTAGCTAAACCTGCAGATGGGCTTTTACAAAAAGAAGAGTCAATATTGTTCCAGTCAGCATTGACTGCTTCAAACAGTTGAAAAACTTTGCCAAGGCAGTTTGTGTTTAATGTGAGATCAAATATTCTTCATAGGATGTAAATCTGGACTCAAATCTTAAATCTTAACCCTTTATTTTGCACGGGGTGTAAATGTAGGCTGAAGACATGCAAACTGAATTTTTGAACTCCACACATCTGAGCATGTGAGCAGTGTGGAGTGGGAGCAGAGCAACATGATTTATGGACCTCTACAAGCACTTTGAGCCTCAAACCATCCTTGCTTATAAAGGATTTGTTATTTGTTTGAACTTCTTAAGCTTTAACCAGAACATATTGCATGCAGTAAAAATAAACATTATCTCTTGGAATTAGAAACAGTTCTGCTAACAAGAGCATTTCAGTAGCTAGCTTACTTGTTAAAAGAGCACAAGAGGAATTTGAGGTCAGGCCTTAGAAGGATTCACCCTTGTTAGATCATCATTATGAGATAAAGCCTGGCCCCAAAAGACGACTGAGATCACCTTTTATCAAAAGTCAGGCATTCTGGATATTGGTTATAGTTTCATTCTTGATGTTTTATAGCTGTAGCAGGACGAGACCACTTAAACCACCTGTTTTCCCACACATCATAAAGACACAGTTAGGTTAATCTCAGGTTAGGGTTTTCCTGTAGACGGGGATCTGTCTACTGAATTGTGGTAATTGCACCCAGAACCACAAGTGATAGCTTTAGTGAAAGCTTTAAGGGGTAATTTATTCATACAAGAATGTATAGGTACTTATTCTAGATTAATAGGAATGCAGAGAAAACTAGAGATTCAGCATCCTTACCTCCTTCTAGACAGACACTATAGAGACCATCATTACCAGCTGTATTACTGCCTGGTTTGGGAATTACATCCTTACACAAGCCATCAGACTCCTCAACTCCCACTGAATTGAAGGATGCATGTATGTATGTATATGTATGTATGTATGTATGTATATATATATATATATATATATATATATATATATATATGTTGTTATAATAATATGAGACCACCCTCCACTCTTATGTCTTTGACACTGTATTTAAATATAATTACTGCATTTCACTGAAATACGTCATTTGATATAACTTGTTAATCTGTCTTCTTGCATTTTTGCACACTTATTTAACATTATCAGCTGCTAGAATACTATATCAACCAAATACTTCATTCCATTGCTGTTGTGGTTGCTACCTCAGTGACTGCTATGCTCATATATGCTAGGCTATCTGCTAATCTGCTAACATGTCACAGTATGTTCATCCTGCTTTGCACAACTCTTTCATCTGTTATCACCCATTAAACTTATTAAAATTTAGAATTAAATTAAACACTTTTTGTTAAACTTTCAGTTCAACAAGAATTTAAAGATAATCTCATAGAAATGTGTGGAATCTTGGCAATCTTACTGGTCTTACTAGCTAAGTGTGAGTTTTGTTTTATATTTAGTTTTTTTCATGTATTATTACAAATTTATCTGGAGTTGTATTTTATATTCAACTGTTTGTTTTATGCTCTCAAGACATTTTCATATTGTGACTGTTTAACATAAATATTTTAGATAAATAGGTGATTATATAAGATATTGCATGAACTGTATTCTTCTTTTAAATGTAAATAAAACATTCACTACTAAAAAACAAAATTACACCAAAACACATGTCTATATCATGCATAATGTTGTTACTGTCACTTGTTATTACTCCTTAAACTTGTTAAAATTTTAAATTCAAGAAATACAACCTCATTTCCAAAAATATATATATAGTAAAATAGTAAAAAATAGGATGCAATGATATGCAAATCATGTAAACCATATTTTAAAGGAAAATAGTACAAAGACAACATATCAAATGTTGAAGCTGAGAAATTTTATTGTTTTTTGAAAAATATATGCCCATTTTGAATTTGATGCCAACAACTCATTTAAAAAAATAGCTTTCTATTCTCATAAGTTATCACTGGCAGAGAGGAACTGTGGGATAGGAGAGCTACTAGCAGTGAAATTAGCATTGGAAGAATGGAGGCACTGGCTGGAAGGGGCAAATCATCCCTTTTCTGTAATCACAGACCACAAAAATCTTGAATACCTCCGTAATGCAAAAAGGTTAAATGCGTGCCAAGCCCGGTGGTCTCTGTTCTTTTCTCCATTTCGATTCAGTATCACCTATAGGCCTGGATCTCGTAACATGAAAGCTGATGCCCTGTCTCGCCTACATCAGGAAGAACCTGCCCCCTCAGAAACAGAATGACAGGAACGCATTCTGCCTCCTGAAGTGAACATTTCATCGATTAGATGGGAAATCGATGACGAAATTGAACGCGCCAATAGCGCACTAGAAATCCCCACTCAGTGTCCCCCAGAGAAATTGTATGTCCCAGTAGACTTTCGCATGCAACTCATCACATGGGCCCACTCATCTCTAACATCTGGTCATCCTGGGGAGACAAGAACTCACAAACTCCTCGCACAACGATATTGGTGGGAATCGATGAGCAAACACATTCATGCATTGGTTTCCTCATGTTCAGTATGCTCCCAGTGTAAAACACCTAAAGCGCTTCCTGCTGGCAAATTCATGCCATTACCAGTACCACTCCAACCCTGGTCCCACATAGCCATTGATTTTGTGACTGACCTGCCAGAATCTCTAGGATTCACCACCATTCTGATGGTGGTGGATCGGTTCTCACAAGGGGTGCGATTTGTCCCATTTTCCACAATTCCTAGTGCTTTTCAAACAGCCGAGACATTGTTCCAACAGGTGTTTCGTTACTTCGGCATCCCCAAAGACATAGTGTCTGACAGAGGACCCCAATTCACGTCACAAGTGTGGGCAGCGTTTTTTGAACATTTGGGGGTCTCTGTCAGTCTGACTTCGGGTGTCACCCGCAAGCAAACGGACACTGCGAAAGAGTAAACCAAGAACTGGGTAAATTCCTGAGGGTTTTCTCTCATGACAACCCTTCGCACTGGGCAAGGTATTTGATTTGGGCAGAAATGGCACAAAACTCATTAACCAGTTCTGTTACAGGCATGACACCATTCCAGTGTTTCCTAGGATACCAACCACCTTTAGCCCCTTGGACTGGTGTACAGACGGACATCCCCGCTGTAGATGAATGGATAAATAGGAGCGAGCAAGTATGGGAGGAGGCTCATCAGTGAATAGAAGCGGTACTCCAGAAGCACAAGGAACAAGCGGACCGTCACCGAGGACCAACACCAGTGTATCAACCCGGGGATCGAGTATGGCTGGCTACGAAGGACTTCCGACATCCAGAGGGAAATTGTAAGAAACTTCAGCCCAAATATATTGGGCCATTTAAACTAGTGAAAAGTATCAATGATGTTACCTATAGATTAGATTTACCCCCTCACTTTAGAGTTTCGCGATCATTTCATGTGTCTCTTCTGAAACCTGCCATTACAGGGCCATTGGACGAGGCTATGCCTGATGTCACTCCACCCCCACCGGAGTGATAGATGGGGCTCCTGTTTATGCTGTCCGTAGGCTGCTGGACTTCCGGAGATGTGGGGGACAGCTGCAATACCTGGTTGACTGGGAGGGGTATGGTCCAGAAGAACAATGCTGGGTGTCTGCCAAAGACGTTTTGGACCCGGCTCTGATTGCGGACTCCCAGGGGTCATCTACGGAAGTAGCTGTCCTGCTCCCTTCCAACACGTTTAGGAACTTCTCAGCAGGAGGATTCGTCGGTCCAGCGACTCAGCAGCTCGGGTTCCGCCCCTGTTCGGAGATCCGGTGGTGTGTGTGGTGGTCATCCTGGCAGGTCTCAGTCCGAGACCTCTTTGGGGGGGTTACTGTCACGCCTCAGGCAGACTCCATTTCCCAGAATGCTTTGGGAGATTACGTGCATGAGCAACTTCCCTCGGACGCATTGGACGCATTGCCCACAATCCCTTGGGAGATCATATGACTGTGGACAATCATTCACGCACCTATCAGCGCTCACAATCCCCTGAGTATTAATAGTGTACATCTATGTTTGTTGTCATATGACTCATTTAGTCTAGCATATAAGCCTGGGCTTTAGTCTTAGTCATTGCAGAAAAAGTATAGTTATTAGCATAATTGTTTGTGGTCAGCAGAAGTATCTAAGAAATTCCAACCAAAATGACATCATTTTCATGAACTGGACTTTTTGTGAGTGAACATTATATTCTAATAACTGGCACTGCCCAGTGTAATGACCGAATACTGTTGTTATCAGGGATCAGTTCATCTACAAAGTTCCAACCAAAATGACATCATTTTCATGAAGTGGACTTTTTGTGTGTGAACATTATATTCTAATAACTGGCACTGCCCAATGTAATGACTGAATACTGTTGTTATAAGGGGTCAGTTTATCTCCTTCACTCCTGTTCCTGTCCCTGTGCTTCATTGTCCAAATATTTGCTGTTGCAGTGTTGCAATCACAGAGCAGATATTTAACAACAGTTCAGAAAAGTTCTCTGTTTCTGGTAAATGTCCAAGAGCACAAGGGTCATTCTACAGACCATTCAATGTTTTGACCTGAGTTAATACCAGAGAAATGCTTTATATTCTGATCTGGCGACATAGACTATTTATGATCAGGTGAACGTTATCAAATAAATCTATGTACAAAGATTTATGAGGTCATTTACGAGTTACAGGAATTTCCTCAAGCAATGTCCAGGCTGACTCATATGTGCTGTAATCAGGAGGGGGTTGAGGGTCCAGCAGGGTTTAAAAGCATGTGAGTATGAAGACTTAACACTGGATAGGAGAAAACTCACAGGTAAGCTACATTTTATATCTTAAATTGACCCTTTTCTGCTGTTCTGTGTGATTCTAAAGGTGGCTTTAGGTGGCTTTATAACACTGAGATAATAATGCCATAAACATATCATAGCAGATAGTCTAATGCTGTCATAAGAGATTTTATTCAGTAATATAACAGTGTCATGTTATCATTACCAGTAATTGTCATGAGAGATGTCATAATGTTTGATACACTAAATACAAATTTAGCATGTGACATAAGCTGTGACAACAATATGTCATATGTCATGACAATTACCAGAAGTATTATATTGGTAACACTTTACTTGAAGGGTGTCTACATAACACATTAATAACATCTTACATAAACACTTAATAACAGTCCTCATTTTTTAGTTTGAAAAACAATATTGTTTTCAGTGAAACGCCTCATTTCTGGACAACCAAAATAAAAATGACCTTTTACTCATTTGGCTTTGACACTTAGACATATTTTGCCTATACTTTCAACTTCTTTTTAGTTATTTGTTTCTTCTTAAGCTTTTTTATTTTGCACTTTATTATTCTTTATTCCTTTTACTCTGTGTCTTCTTTAAAATTTGATTGTGCTGAAGGGTTAATTCAACAGTCTATACCAGGGGTGCAGGTTTTCATCCCAAACAAGAAGAGCAAATCTGATTCCACTCGTTTAATCAGTCTGATTAAAAAATGTACATATGTGCTTCTGCTTTGTTGCAGTGAAAACCTGCAGCCACACCGGCCCTTTGCTGATAAGATTGGACAAACTGGTCTATACAAAAAGTAACACATGTTGACTTCATGTCAAACGTTCAAGTTTGCATAAAATTATACTTCAGTTTGATTTCTGTCCAGGTGCAGAACTGATCTCTGTTGAAGGTTTTTATTGTTGGAAAAGCCTCGGAAAAAATGACAGTAAGTCATAGCTTACTCTAATCTTGCTTATCACTTTTGGAAGAAAATCTTGTATCTCCAAAATGGTAACTTTACAGGAGAAGGAAAAAACATACTTTACTTTTAATGTAAGTCAATGGAAGTTTTAGTCCATTCATCATGAAATTTACACACAATGTAAAGGACCACAGGTACTTTCAAATTATGTCAAAAACTAAAAAAAGTCAAAAATGGAGATACAAAGTTTTCACAGCGATATTCTATAATTCTAATCTGTATTTTGTGAACTAGGATTGAGTTTTAGTTTTCTATGCTTGTTAACCACTTTTACTTCTGATACATGTAAAGAAATATCTATAAAAGAAAAGTCTCTAACAAGTACTGAACAGCAGGTGGTTTGGTTTAAATTTTACTTTGTTTTTTTCTTGAGTGAATAACATTTTAGTGTTTGTTCTTCTTGTGCAGTTTTGTCATTTTACTGTTTATTGTACTTGTTCAGTTTATTGTGTTTTTGTTTAATGTCTGCCACTCTTCCCTCCAGCTCAGAGTGTTTCTGGCTCTAGTGCTCCCCCTGCTGGTAGGAAGCACCCCAGTTTCTCAGGAACTGTTCCCGACAGACTGCTCTGACGTCTACACTAACGGACAAACACTGAGTGGAGTTTACAACATCCACCCTGCAGGTGACACACCTGTACAGGTGTACTGTGACATGGGCTGTAATGGACAGACAGAGGATGCAAAGTGGACGGTATGTTAGAATGTATTTCTCTAATAGATTAAATACAGTATTGAGGTCAATCCACATCTGAAACAATCTGTAGGAAATATTCATTATTACTGACTAATAGCAACATCAGTATTAATGAAGTAGTGAATGGCATGAGGTTATATCCATGAAAAAGTCCAAAATGTGTTTTTTTAATTTAAATATCACCCAAAAAGAGACACTTATTAAATGTCCATGGTGGACAGTATCAAAGGCAATATCTGTAAATTTATCAGATATTTTTTGAGACTATTTTCCATTTTTTGAGATTTTTACCGAGAGCCAATAGCCAGGAGTTTAGACACAAGAGGAGAAATATGGAAAAATTTGATCTTTTGGTACTTTTACTTTGGTAACACTTTACATCAAGGGTTGCAAATTAATTGATAATTAAATGGTAATAATTGATTAAGTACTCATTATTACATATTAATTAACTATTCACTAAGTATAAGTTACTGAATAAGTACTTAGTAATTAGTAATTGAGTACAATGTTAATTGATAGTTTAATTCACAGCTTTATTACTAATTAACTGTGTACTGAGAGCTGATTTTTGTACTGCTAATGAACTGATAGTGTGTAATTGAAAACTAAGAGCAAACTAAACTATCAGTTAACAGTGTACTCAATACTAAATATTAAATATTCAATCAGTAACTAATGCTTAGTGAATAGTTATTTAATGTATAAATGAGTATTTAAATACTTATAAGTATATAATTATTAATGTACTACCCTTAATGTAATGTGTTACCTTATTCAAAAGCAAGTAATTTTGAACTTAAAGTCAAGTACAAATATAAATAGTGCACTTACACTTTTGCTTGAGTAATATTTTACTACTATTGTTTCACTGCTTTCAGAGTGAAACAAATCCACCTTCTACATCCTGTTTAGATTAAAATTTAGATTTATTTTAGTCTGAGGAAGTTCTGTGAGAAAAGTGTTTACAGTGTGTATGACTGCTTTAATTCCACTACAGTAATGAATGTTATCTTTACACCAGGTGATTCAGAGGAGAATGGACGGCAGTGTGAACTTCTACAGACCATGGGAGCAGTACAAGAAAGGATTTGGGAACAAATATGGAGAATACTGGCTGGGTGAGAATTCATTACCTATCACAAATACAGTGTAGAGACCAGTTTTATCACAAATTGAAACTGAAAGAATGAATTTTAGGAAGAAATGTGAAAAAAGTCAATGTTGGTCGTCGGACTTTGTAAGTGTGAAAAAGTTGACTTCAAGAGTGAAATGGAGTCAGAACACAAAATCTCATGCTATGGTGACACCATGTGGCAACATTGGGTATTACTATTTGTGTAAGCATTGCTCACAAAATCAATTCAGGTGTTTATAGAACTTGCAACTTGCAACTGAAGTTTTAAGGCAGCCAAATAATAATACACCTTCATATCATGGATAAGCTGTAAACACTGTCTGTTATGTAAAGTAGTCATACTATTCATCCTAAATCTTCATAAATGACCTTTCGCTTTATACTGTGCACCTCCAGGATTGGAGAACCTCTACCAGCTCACCCGCAAGAGGAAGTATGAGCTGAGAGTGGACCTGCAGGACTTTGAGGGAGTGAAGGTTTACGCTCAGTACTCTACTTTCTCTGTGGAATCTGAAACTGATGGCTACAAACTGCATGTTGATGGATTCATCAATGGAGGAGCAGGTGAGATATCACTGAGGGAATCAGTGGTGATGGATGCAGACAAGGCCAATGCCACAGTCTCCCCTTGCCAGTTTAAATTTTATGAGGAATATCCCATTTAGAGCCTTTACATAGTGAATTACACTCGCTGAGCACTTCTTGTTTTGATGCTCATTGTCCATTTTATCAGCTCCACTTACTATATAGGTGCACTTTGTAGTTCTACAGTTGAAGACTGTAGTCCATCTGTTTCTCTGCATACTTTGTTACCCTGTTCTTCAGTGGTCAGGACCCCCATGGACCCTCACAGAGCAGGTACTATTTGGGTGGTGGATCATTCTCAGCACTGCAGTAACACTAGTGCGTGTTGTTCTGGTCTGAGTGGATCAGACACAGCAGTGCTGCTGGAGTTTTTAAACACCGTGTCCACTCACTGTCCACTCTATTAGACACTCCTACCTTGTCAGTCCACCTTGTAGATGTAAAGTCAGAGACGATAGCTCATCTGCTGCTGCACAGTTTGTGTTGGTCATCCTCTAGTCCTTCATCAGTGGTCACAGGACGCTGCCCACAGGACACTGTTGGCTGGATATTTTTGGTTGGTGGACTATTCTCAGTCCAGCAGTGACACTGAGGTGTTTAAAAACTCCAGCAGCACTGCTGTGTCTGATCCACTCAGACCAGCACAACACACACTAACACAGCACCACCACGTCAGTGTTACTGCAGTGCTGAGAATGACCCACCACCCAAATAATACCTGCTCTATGAGGGTCCATGGAGGTCCTGACAATTTATGGACCGGTAAAGTTGGGACAACAAAGTAAGCAGAGAAACAGATGGACTACAGTCTGTAATTGTAGAACTACAAAATGCAGCTATATAGTAAGTAGATCTGATAAAATGAAAAGTGAATGTAAAAGCAATGTAGGTGTACCTAATAAAGTGCTCGTTTAGGGCATATAGACAGTAAAAAGACATTTTAGGCTGTACAAATGTACTAGTTGGTGAATAACCAGTAGAATATGTGGTAATATTCTGCCTTTACACAACATTTAATTGCACCACAATAATAGGGGCTTTCAAGTGGTCTTTGAATGGACCTTTTTCTTGCCACAAAAGCAAACAGGAAAGGCCAGTAAGACAGTATGAGCTCTGAAAAATGGCTGCAGGTCTACTGTCTGGAGCACCACTAGTTGTTCTTCTGTTCACATCACTGATACTATAGTTTTACAAGCCAGAGTTCTGCTGCTGAACAAGTATTAACAATCTAGTGATTATATCTCACTCTGAAAGGCTCGTTGTTGTGTGCACAGTGGTCATACTCAGTTTATTTGTTCCCACTGAGCTGATAAAACCGCTGGAAGACTGTACACATGGCTGTCTGGCTAGCCAATGAGAATGTACTTGACATGGTCATCTTAGTCTTAGAATACAATAAATGTAAGTCTGAAAGGAGCATGATAGTGTTAATGCAAAAACAAAGATTGAAATAAAAAGTCATTTTAACAATATTTATATTATGTGTGTTATAAAGTCATTGTTTACTGTGATTTGTGATGTCTGAAGGTGAAAAGTGTGTCTGTAGTGACAGATCCTTCTGTCTGCAGGTGACTCACTGGCACTATCAAATGGACAGAAGTTCTCCACCTTTGACAAAGACCAGGACACTACTCAGGATCAACACTGTGCTAAATCCTACCTTGGAGCATTTTGGTACAATGCTTGCCATCATGCTAACCCCAACGGTATCTATCTGTGGGGAAAGGATGGCACCCTTTTTGCTATTGGAAATGTGTGGTACCACTGGAAAGGCTATGATTATGGTCTCAAGTCCATCAGTATGAAGATCAGGCCTGTGCCTTAGATGGGTATACTTTGTTTTATTTTGTTTTTTTTTTCTATTTAGCATGTAATATTTGCAGGTAGACACATAGTTATAATAATTTTCCTAAGAAGAATGTTGAAATCTGTGTAAATATTATACATATATATATATATATATTATATATATATATATATAATTATTAAACACTATATATAATATATGATATATATAATATAATATTAGATTAAATAATATTACATATTAAATTTTGCTCTGCGCATGCTTGTACCCTGAGCTCTTTTATTAAGAAGAGTTTAACATTCTCAGAATCTTAATTAATGAAGTACTTATGCTGCATTTTCTGTTTGAATATTTGTTTAATGCTCACAAGGCATTTTTTATATTATTAAGCAGAAAATAGTTTGCATAAATATTTATTAGTAATAACCAAACATCCAAGATCACTACCTGACCTCACTTATGCTCTTGTGGCTGAATGCAATCAAACACTCACAGCACTGTTCTAACGTCTACTGTAAAACCTGCCCAGAAAGTGGAGGCTGTTACTGCAGCAAAGCTCACTATGAAGACCCTTGATTTGAAAAGCAGGTGTCTACAAACATTACACATATTGCTACGCTTTACTGGAGGGATTTGTACTGATACGTATGTGGACCTCAATACTGACCAATATGTCAGCAAACCAATCTACTAGTCAAGGCCCTATTTATCAAGTTATAGTATAAACCATTGCTTTTATCTAGTTACATAAAAACAATGGTTTACCTGCATTAAAGAAAATAGACTACATCTATACTGTTGATTAAAAAGCAGCCTTTGATGTGTGTTGTGTAAACATACTGCAAATTAAACATGTTAATACACTGACCTGTACTTATATATGTGCTATGAATGCAGCCTAGCATGCATATTGTTTCCTAGCAGTCTTCCAGAAATGGCATGTGACCTCAAAAGAGAATTGAATTGATTTTTTAAAGTTGACTCATAATTTAATTGCTGATATGTAAACAGTCAGAGTGGTTTGATGTGGAAGGCGTTCCAGAGAAGCTTAGAGAAACTAGAGAAACTAGAGAAACTAGAGAGAACTGCTCACAGAGGTGGTGATACAGTGAACCAGACATGTGAAGACCTCACAGAAAGCTACTGCATGAAATGGTTATGATTACTCTGCCTGATGCCTGAGAAACTGTTTTATGATATGAGATAATGTTCTGGCCTAAAACATATTTAAAGGGGAATTCCACCAACTGTTCTAAAATTTTGCATAAATCAATGATCAAGATTTTGATGTGAAATGGTTCATCGTGGAGGAACTTATCAGCTCAGATTTCTTTAAAATAGTGGGGATTGGAACCAGGGCTCACAGAATATACAACACTAACGTAGCCTTATTAATTATTAATTAATTATTAATTAATAATTGTTCATATAAGGTATTTCATAAACTTTTGAAATATAAATATAATTTTCACTGCTAAAAACATCTAAATCAAAACATATATTCTTTATTTCAGGCATAGTGCTGTTATTTTCATCTGTGATCACTCCTTAAACTTTGCAGCTGTGGTAGTGTTGCAAATAAAAACTATGAATATTAAAATAAAATTTTAATTTAGGTTGAACTTAAACTCATAGAAATGTGTGGTATCTTGACAATACTACAGTTCATTTCAACTGTTTGAACCTAAGTGTTGCAGAAGAAGTACAGTGATTAATACAATTGTTTTGTCAGCATACGTATCTGAGACAATCCACCAAAATTAAAATTTTCATTTTCTTAACTTTTTGTGTAAGTGTTACAACTTAGAACAGGCCTTGCCCAATATAATGACTTTGGGCTATGCAACTTGCCCAAAGTCTGAAACAGAAGGGCTTTTCTGATAAAGTGACCTCTAATAACAACAGCACTGTTAATCAGATAAGTTATTTACTTCTGTTTCTGTCAGTGTGCTTCAGTGCCCACACTTCTGCTGTTGTGATTATGCAATCTGATAGTGGTTATTGAGCAAAGAGCTGGTGTAAGACCCAACATCAGGGTCATTCTCAGGCTGTTTTGGCCTGAGTTAATATCAAAGAGCAAAGATTTATATGCTGATTAGGCAACTCAGAATATTTATGTTCAGCTGACCATTACAGAAGTGTTCATATTTAAGCATAAATCATGACAAATCCTGCCAGGTGTTTTCATGAGAGACTGTGCCAATTAGTTACATCAAGAGTCCAGTTGACTACCTGTAATCATAAAAGTCCAGGACTGGACACTGGATTCTGTCTTTGAAGACTTCTGCCCTACATTTTTTCTGTATACAGTCAAATGCCTCATTTGGAAATTTAAGTAATAGGGTGCACTCTAAAACCAGCAGTATACACTCAACGGCTAATGTACAGTGCTGTGAAAAAGCATTTGTCCCTTCCTAATTTCTTTTATTTTTGCATGTTTGTCACACTCAAATATTTCAGATCATCAAAGTACTTTTAATATTAGACAGAGATAACCCAAGTAAACATACAATGCTGTTTTTAAAAGATGATTTCATTTATTGAAGGAAGAATGCTCTTCAGCCCTACCTGGCCCTGTGTTAAAAAGAAATTACCCTCTTAGCTACTGAATCAACCATATAACCAAATTCAATAGGGTTCAGTTTCCCTAGCGACACCCAGGCACGATTACTGCCAGTCAGCCATGTATTTAAACATCACTTAAACAGAACCTGTCTGGCAATGTGAAGCAGTCTAGAAGGTCTCAAAAAGCAATGTTAGAAACAGCAAGACGACCATGATAGCATCTCTCTTTTGGGCCACGAAATTAGTGATTCATGTTTTACTAACCAAAAACAGATTAGTCCTTTCGATATGAAGAGCGCTGGTGTTTAGAGTGATAGGGACAGTATTTCTTAACACTACCCCAGTGCCTAGGGGGTCTCCATCAAGAGCTAAGAGCAAGAAGGACTTTTTTAAGGTTCCACAGGAACGTTCTGCTATTCCACCACTCTAGTGGCTCCCCTCAGCTCCAGAGTTGATCAGGGCTGAAAATATAGAAGCACTGGTAGACTAACGACAGTGTATAGTAACCAGGAGGAGACAGGAAACTTGATGCCAACCCCTTTGTGGGAATACTCACTTTCTGGAGTGCTGAGATGTTGTTGGAAACAGTGCTGGTGTGTAAAAACGCAGCTGGGTATGCAGTAGTTGATCAAGACAAATTACAAGAAAGAACCATTCCTCTAAGGGTCATCCCTTGTCTGTACATGCCAACTCTGACTGTATGTCTGTATTAAGCCCGTTGTGAAAAGTGATGAACAAAGCTGGTCCATTCCTGCCACTCCTGGCTGTGAGAGTTCTGAATTTTAACACATAATCTACTACAGAACAGTTATCTTAACGTATCTTAGTGATCAATTCACCATTAAATCTTTCTATATAAGGACAGTCGAAAACAGTCTTTCCTTATCAAACTGATCATAAGTTAGCTGTTGTACATTCGAGTACAACTTTTCCGGTTAATTCTAACAGCATGTTAAACTAACCCTGCCATGTGGAGGCTGTACTTTAGGCTGGCTAGCTCTCACTGTGAGCTGTTTCTCTGCTTCTAAATGGTGCTATATGACAGCCATCAAGTTGAATATCAAAATAACATGAGAAAGTTCTGTCAACTCAGTAATCAAATAAAAAAAATACTGTTTTATTTTATTTATAACGGTAAATCTGTTACATTTTCCTCTGTGTTAAGTGGCACCCAGAGCTCCTCTAGTTTGATTAAGAAGGGTTTCAGGAAACAGTCATTAATTAATGTTCCTTAGATCTGAATTACTAAAGTATAGGTTCCTGCATTTAGCTGAAGCTAGTAAGCCTGAATCCTCCACCTCTGACTAGGAAAAATCAAACAAAACACCCCCTGGGATTAACTGGGATTTCCTATTCAGAAAGTCAGGATGTTGTTCCCAGAGCTCAGCGTACATCAAATCAACATCACTGCTAACACTGTTACTTTGAGTTGCATTGTTTACATCAATGTTTTTTTTTTTTTGTTCTCAAGACATTTTCATGTTGCAAAGTTTTCAGCAGAAAATAAATGTCTCACATAAGTTGATTCTATAAGGTAATGCATTAACTGTTATTTTTAAAACAAATAAATAATTCACTGCTAAAAACAATAAACATCAAAACACATACTGTTCATATCTTAACTATAATGTTGTTACTTTCATCTATGATGACTCCTTAAACAGGTGTGATAGTGTTGCAAATACAATCTATTAATAAAAAAATAAATGTCAGGTTGAATGTTACATTCTTAAAACTCATTGCTCACTGAAATTACTTAATTCTGTTTTTACCAGTGGTCAGTCCATCAGATAAGTCCTTCACTTCTGTCTGTGTCACTGTGCTTACTTGTGCAAACTTTTGCCGTTGCGATGTTGCGATCACAGAGCAGATACTCTATATTTCCAAAAGTATTCACTCTCCTATCCAAATCATTGAATTCAGGTGTTCCAATCACTTCCATGGCCACAGGTGTATAAAACCAAGCACCTAGGCATGCAGACTGCTTCTACAAACATTTGTGAAAGAATGTGTCATGAATCCCGTAGGCTCTGAACTCTCCTTGGACTCAATCTCCCAGAATCCCCTTGGAGATCACGTGACGCCAGCCTCACTCTCTGACTACGATTGTGGATTCTGTTTTCACTAGTAAAGCCTCTCGTTCCCTTTTTATCTGCAAGCGTCTGCGTCATTCTTTTGCATTACAGAATGGGTCATTCTCAGGAGCTCAGTGAATTCCAGCGTGGTACCGTGATAGGATGCCACCTGTGCAACAAGTCCAGTCGTGAAATTTCCTCACTACTAAATATTCCACAGTCAACTGTCAGTGGTATTATAACAAAGTGGAAGCGATTGGGAACGACAGCAACTCAGCCATGAAGTGGTCGGCCACGTAAAAAAAAACAGAGCGGGCTCAGCGGATGCTGAGGCGCATAGTGCGCAGAGGTTGCCAACTTTCTGCAGAGTCAATCGCTACAGACCTCCAAACTTCATGTGGCCTTCAGATCAGCTCAAGAACAGCGTGGAGAGCTTCATGGGTTTCCATGGCCAAGCAGCTGCATCCAAGCCTTACATCACCAAGCGCAATGCAAAGCGTCGAATGCAGTGGTGTAAAGCGCCGCCACTGGACTCTAGAGCAGTGGAGACGTGTTCTCTGGAGTGACAAATCACGCTTCTCCGTCTGGCAATCTGACGGACGAGTCTGGGTTTGGCGGTTGCCAGGAGAATGGTGCTTGTCTGACTGCATTGTGCCAAGTGTAACGTTTGGTGGAGGGGGGATTATGGTGTGGGGTTGTTTTTCAGGAGATGGGCTCAGCCGCTTTGTTTCAGTGAAAGGACCTCTTAATGCTTCAGCACCAAGAGATTTTGGACAATTTCATGCTCCCAACAAAGGGGGAACAGTTTGGGGATGGCCCCTTCCTGTTCCAACATGACTGCACACCAGTGCACAAAGCAAGGTCCATAAAGACATGGATGAGGAAGTTTGGTGTGGAAGAACTTGACTGGCCTGCACAGAGTCCTGACCTCAACCCGACAGAACACCTTTGGGATGAATTAGAGTGGAGACTGCAAGCCAGGCCTTCTCGTCCAACATCAGTGTCTGACCTCACAAATGCATTTCTGGAAGAATAGTCAGAAATTCCCATAAACACTCCTAAACCTTGTGGAAAGTCTTCCCAGAAGAGTGGAAGCTGTTATAGCTGCAAAGCGTGGGCCAACATCATATTAAAACCTATGGATTAAGAATGGGATGTCACTCAAGTTCATATGCGTGTGAAGACAGATGAGCCAATACTTTTGGCAATATAGTGTATTTAGCAAGAGTGTACGAAGGATATCTGATTTAGCCATGACTATGTTGCCTCCGCCAGTGACACCACCATCATCAAATTTGCTAATACCACTTTGATGACTGAGGGTGATGAGATGGGCCTATTGGACTGAGTTAGTTGACATGGTGGCATGGTGCCAGATCAACAATCTATCCTTTAATGTTAACAAAACAAAAAAGGTGATTGTTTAACAAAAAGATGACTATTGGAGGAGGGCAAAGCAGCACAAACCACTGCTCATTCAACAGACAGAGGTAGAGAGAGTGAGAACCTTCAAATTTCTTTGTGTCCACATCAGAAAAGATCGCACTTGGTCTCATAGCACAGCACAACTGGTCAAGAAAGCACACCAATGACTGCATTTCCTGTGAAGGCTAATGAAATCTGGCATGTCATCCAGAATTCTGAAGAGCTTCTACGGTGCACTGATGAGAGTATCCACACCTCCATCACTGTCTGGTTTGGAAGCTGCTCCAACCAGGACCTTTACTACTCCAGGGTCCTCAAGAAGGCCCACAAGATAATCAATAAACAATAAAATGTTGAAACTGAAATGTTGAAAACAAACGTACATCAGCCTAATCTGTTAATACTGTATGTTCAATCAAACATATCTCATAATGTGGGATTTGGCACCCAAACATCTCTGTGATGAAAACCCCTAAAATGAAACTGAGCTTTGTTTTCCTGTGGGCCTTCATGCTTTCTAATGATAACATAGGTGGGCTTTGAGGTGGAAAAGTCTGCAAAACAAAAATTGTTGCAAATAAAAATTATAAATATAAAAAAAAAAAAATTCTAATTTGGGTTGAACTTTAACTCATAGAAATGTGGAGTCTTGGCAAGTCCGAACAGCAGACTCTTGTGTGGTCTTCAAATGCAGACTGAAGACACATCTCTTTCTTACAGCACTTAAGTGAGCACTGAGTTAAGTATTCATTGTAATGTATTGTACTGCACTTATTGAAATGTATTGTGTTTAAGTCTGTTCCTTTTTCTCTAGGTATCAACATGGGCTTTTGTTTCTAGCAATATCTGAGCTCAGGACTCTCTTTTCCCATTTGTAACTAGTAAAGATACTTTCTGTAGATAGACAACAAAGCGCTTTTTGTAAGTCATTCTGGATAAGAACATCTGCTAAATGCTGCAAATATAAATGTAATCGTACAGTTAATTTTAGCTGTTAGAACCAAAATATTGCAAAAGAGGTATAGTTATTAGTACAGTTGTTTTGTCAGCATAAATATCTGACATATTCCACTCAAATTAAAATTTTCATGTAAGTTTTACAACTTATAACTGTCATTGCCCAATATAATGACTTTATGTCAGTTGCCCAAAGTCTGAAACAGAAGGACTTTTCTGATAAACTGACCTCTTACAGCAACAGCACTGTTAATCAGATAAGTCATTTACTTCTGTTTCTGTCATTGTGATTCAGTGCCAACAGTTTTGATGCAATCTTGTAGTGGTTATTTAGCAAGAGTTGGTGCAGGAGCTGTCCAAACATCAGGGTCATTCTCAGTTTTTTTGGCTTGAATTAATATCAAAGAGAAACAATTTATATGCTTATCAGGCAATTCAGAATATTTATGTTCAGCTGAACATTACTAAAGTGTTCATATTTCAGTATAAATCATGTCAAATCCTGCCATGTGTTGTCATAACCGACTGTGCCAATCAATTACATTAACAGTCCAGTTGACTACCTGTAATCATAAAAGTCCAGGACTGGAAGACTTCTGCCCTACAGTTTTGCCATATAAGGTCATGTGCCCCATTTGGAAATTTTAGTAGTGGGGTGCACTCTTAAGCCAGCAGTATGAACTATATGGCTAATGTACAGTGCTAATATCCCAATTTGTTTTATTTTTGTATATTTGTGATATTTAAATGTTTCAGATTATCAAAGTACTTTTAACATTACAGTAAATTCAAATTGATGTTTTTAAATGAAGATTTCATTTATTTATCGAAAAATGCTGTTCAGCCCTACATGGTCCTAGGTGAAAAAGTAAAGTCATTGTACACAATCCCACTATAAGAAAGACACCGGGCAAAAATGTCATCCATGGGAGAGATGCAAGGTGCAAAACACTCCTGACCAAAAAGAAGCCAAAGGCTCCTCTTGCATTTTTTAAAAAGCATAGATAGGAAAACATAGACTAGATAACCCCCAAGACATTTGTGATAATATTCGTAGACTGCTGAGTCAACGATGGCACTTTATGGAGAACATGGGTCCCGTTACATCTGGTGTAAAGCTAACACTGCATTCCACCATAAGAACATCATACCAGCAGTCAATCATGGTGGTGGTAGAGAGATGGTCCGGGGCTGCTTTGTTTCTGCAGGAACTGGATGACTTGTCATAATAGATGGAACCCTGAGCTCTACTATCTATCAAAAAATTCTAAAGGAGAATATCCGCCCAACAGTTTGTGACCTAAAGGTCAAGCACAGTTGGGTTATGCAGCAGGAAATTGATCCAAGGCACACAAGCAAGTCCATCTCTGAATGGCTAACAAAAAAACAAATTTAAGGTTTTGGAGTGGTCAAAGTCCAGACTTGAATACCATTGGGATGCTGTGGCAAGACCTTAGGGTTGTTTAGCCCTTTCTAACCAATAATGCCATTCTTTGCCAACCTCATTTCCAAACACTGTATAATGTAAATAAAAATAGAATGCAATGATGTGCAAATCATTTAAACCCTATGTGTCATTGAAAATAGAAGAAGGGCAACATATCAAATGTTGAAAACTGAGAAAATGTATTGTTTTTTGAAAAATATATGCCGATTTAGAATTTGATGCCGACAACACATTCCAAAAAGTTGTGACAGGGTCAACAAAATGCTGGTAAAGTTGTGTAATACTAAAAAACACACCTGGTGGTTTCTATGCAATGATATGCAAATTATAAAAAAACATATCTTTCAAGGAAAAAAAATGTCAACAACAAAGCGACAACAAATTTACTAAGCATGTCCCTGGGCACATCATTAATAAATCACTGAGGGCAGTATCACAAAGCTGAATGGCATTACCAAATACTCATAATGTCCATTGTTGATCTTCCACTTATACCGCTCCTTTATTCAAATAAGATTGTACGCACTACAGAGGTTGAACCAAAAAAACGTTGCTGCCTGAAACTGCTCTAGAGCTACAGATACTAACACTAATGGATAACGATGGCATTTCTTGATCAGAGTCAATCCTCTATCATTTATTTAGAGCTGCAACCCACCTTCCCTTTTCCCTACTAAAAATTAACCAGCACATACAAGTGAAACAGATGGATGTATAAATTATTGCTGTAAGGATTCTTGGATATACTCCTCCATAGCCTTATTCTCAGTTTGAGTGAGGGGATAAACTCTGGCCTCAGGAAGGGCTG